GCGATGGGTCTGCCATGGGTGAGTACGTTGTACAAGGTGGAAACCATGGCGCACAAGACGATGGGCGCCATGGACGTCCTCCCTCGCTGACAAGGTCAGCACAGTCAACTGACAGGGTAAATCTAGAGGCGCCCGGCTAGACAAAAAGGTAATACGCAAAATTATTCAGATTTATATGAGTTGTGTGTGCACACTGGCTCATGTAGATATGATTGCAGCACTCTATGGTCTTCATTTCCTGGTAGTGGACAAAACACACATCTGAGAGGGTGAAAATGATAAAAAAAACTAGTTAGTCTGATAAGGGGTCTTCGGTCAGAATTGGTTTAATAACATGTATGCATTTTTTGAAAAATTGTAGGTTAAGGCTAGGAAGTGCGCCGCCGGACCGAGCCCCATGCCCATCTCGCATGTCCGCATTGGAGCTCTCTATGCGCAAATATGCAGAACAACCTGACAAAAGTGTGATACGCCCAGAACTAGGACTAAGTTTTGACTCCTTGAGCGAGGCATATGATTTCTACAATCTTTATTCGTGGGAGGTTGGTTTTGGGATTAGATACGGGAAGAGCCGTCTGAATGCGGAGAGAACGAAGAGCATGCAGGAAATTGTTTGTGGTTGCTCTGTAAGTCCTGTCACATATACAAGAAGCAAGTATTTTCAACACAGAGGTTGTGCTGGTTTCCTGATCCGATGTACAATGTGTTTGCTACTTGTTCTGCAGGGGAAACCTAGCTGAGAACAACCGTTCTTGCAAATGCGAGTGCCCGGCTCTGATCAGGCTGTTGCGTGCGTCGGACAACAGCTGGTACATCACGAAGCACCGTGAGAACCACAATCACTCAATGTCACTTACCATGGGTGAGAAAGTATACTGGCCCTCGCACAAACATATTGATGTGTACACAAAGGATTTGATAAGGCAACTTAGGGAGAACAATGTTAACCTTGGGAAAGTGTACAATATAATTGGGAGCTTCTTTGGGTCAGTGGAGAAGGTACCGTTCACAAAAAGGACTCTCGGGAACATATGCGGCAAGATTAGTCGTGAACAAGCAGACGATGATGTGCGGAAAACATTGGAAGTATTTGCGGATATCCGTTCCACCGACCTAGGTTTCACCTATGTGGTACTGGCAGGCAATTCCAGGAAGGTGAAGAACGACATACGGAAGCAGTCGTATGTAGTATAAATTCTTTGGTGATGTGGTGACCTTCGACACGACGTACAGAACAAACCTCTGTGACATGCCATTTGGATTATTTGTGGGAGTTAACAATCATTACCAAAGTATTATTCTTGCTGGAGTGTTGATGCGGGATGAACAAGAAGAGAGCTTCAAGTGGGTGTTCATAGAATTTCTACGGTTGATGGGTGGGCCTGCTGCAAAGACAATATTGACAGGTATGCTTCAGTTGGAATATCACATGGATAAATGTGTACCAAAGATGACATACTATGGTGATGCTAGTTCATATATTACTGATCATGTGTGGACACTAAAAAAAGTTCATTTCCCATTGCAGATCAATGCAGGGCCATGGAGGTGGCAATAAGGAATACGCATCCTCAGACAGTACACCGATGGTGCAAGTGGCATGTCCGGAAGAAAGCAAAGGATACACTGGGTCCACTGTACACGAAGAAGAGCGACTTTCAGGCAGAGTTTCACAAGGCTGTGAACCACGTGCTTACTGAAGATGAGTTTGAAGCAGGATGGGCCATGTTGCTGGACAAATACAACCTCCGTAGCCACACTTACATGACACAAATTTATGAAATGAGGAGGAAGTGGGCGAAGCCGTACTTCAGAGGTGTGTTCTGCGCAAAAATGACAAGCACTCAAAGAAGTGAGAGCGCAAACCACATGCTGAAAATGTACATGCCCCATGAGCCCTATGCATGTGCTCGTTAGGCAGTATATGAGGTTGCAGTTTGACAGAGAGCGTGAAGAGAGCTATGAGGAAAAGAGGACCATGATTGTAAGTTTGGGTTTTTTTGCCCGTCTGACAAAGACATACATCCTGTACATCTCCATTATGTTTATTTTAATGGGTAATGAGACCTGAAACCGATATGTGTTTTCTATCTGTAATGTCAATGACAGGGTGGTGTTGTGAGGAGGACCAACCTTGCAATAGAGCGGCATGCAAGCAAAATATACACAAGGAATATGTTTGAGGAATTTGGTTGCCTAATTGTTGAAGGAACAACCTATAATGTAAGTGAAGTGGAGAGGCTGAAGAGATACAAGACAACACACAACAATGCAGCCAAAAGAGAAAAGTGGAGCAAGGTTGAATATGAGGTGACCATAAACGAAGACAAGTCAATATTCAGTTGCGAGTGTGGCCAGTTTGAGTACACTGGGATGTTGTGCTCCCATGTCCTGAGAGTGAGTTACTGTGAAGCTTTAACTATCTGGGTTGAAATGATAATGCAATTCACAAACTGACGGAGGGGGGCGCTGTATGGTCTTGCAGGTTATGTAGATTTTGCATCTGGAGGAGATCCTGAAGCATCATATTTTGAAACGATGGATAAGAGACGCCAGGGATGTACTTCCAGATCACCTTGTCCAATAAGGACAACTCACTGAGCTTGTCATTCACATATAGGCATGCAACTTTGTATTTGGAGGCAATGGAAGTCATGCACATGGGGGATGCTAGCGCTGCATGTTATGACCACGTCAATGCTGGTCTCGATGCTTTGCTGTTAAGTTCGGCACCACTAGCAGAGGTGAGGGACGGTTTGGCTTTCGAGGACCAACTGGCCGTAACGGCAGATGCAAGGAAGGGTAAGGAAATAGCAACTGCAAGTGCTGACCATGACGCGGGGCATAGCCAGAGTGCTGGCCAGTCTGCTAGCATAAACAAACTTCAAGGGCTTGGTGCACCTAACAAGCATAGAGGCGCTGGCAGGCCGACGAACAGTCGGGACAAAGCCACATACGAAGGTTTAAGCAAGCGCACCAGATTCTGTAGCATCTGTCGGTGCGAAGGTCATAAGAAGACCACGTGCCCGGAAAGGGGTGATACACCAAAGAAACCACGAAAACCAGCAAAATGCAAGAATTGTAGGATCGAAGGACACCGGCGGAACACTTGCAAGCGGCCGCTTGGTTTGGCTGAGCAATGAGTTTTCTATTTTACTGTATATTGTGAAAAAATTTACCAGGGTATTTTCTAGTGTGTTTCCTATGTGGCACTGTTGCATCCCTAAAATCAATCATGCATCAAACTGCTCTGTTTATTGTTGTACCGTGAGAATGGACAAAAGGTTTTTATGCCACTGAACTATGATGAGGTTAATGTGGAATCCATGCACCCTGGATGGAATTAGAGTAGCTGCATATGTGATGTTATTGTTAGATCATCAGGGAGGTTGTTAGAACGTGCATTTTCCTAAACGAGAGGATCATTTACATGCTCTATGTTTTACTTTTGTGGGGTTCCTATCTGTTGCGTTTCATCGATGTGTGTATTGCTGACACATGGACCTCACGCATAGTCAGGAACACCCGAAACGGGGTGGTTTTTGTGCGCCATTTTTATTCAAAATTCAAAAGGATCAAGTAGAGAGAGTAAATGCAGACGAAGGCCTGGGGCAAGACAGACGCAGTATAAGATACAGCTGGGGTGCCTGCTCGGCTACATTGCTTCAGTTTCCCTCCTTTGCCACAGGTTCAAATTTTTTTGAAAGTCCAGACTGCTTCACAATGGCGATGTCTTGGGAGCAATCAACGGCGAGCGGCACAACCTGCTGCTCTGATCGGCGTGAGAAAATCATCGTGAAAGAATATCAGGTGAAGACCACTTGCCCTTAACCATGACTCTATTTCTAATTTGTTATGAGATTTGTAGCTGGCAGTGCTCACTCTATCCAATCTATATGCTCGCAGACAACTTCAGCAAGCCTGGATTCAGCGGCGAGCGCATGGAGTACAACGGTGCTACCGGCGAGAAGACACGCTTGTTCGGGACAGGTGAGGAAAAACCCTGTTGTGACTGTTTGTTTGATGCAAGCTTGTTGCCATTGAAAGCAAGAAAGTTCAAAATGTGTCGTCTTAAAATCTTCCAGGGTGAGGTGATCCAGCAAGCTGACTGCCGTCGTGGAGACCTGAAGCAAGAAGTGGCGGATCAGACAAATGAAGTTGATGAGGAGGAAGGGTTCGGTGAGTACGATCCAGATGAATCCGCGCATCCGGCAGGAATCTCTAGTGAGAGCGGCTTGGAAAACAGAGCTGACGAACCCGAGGCGCGCGCAGCTGGATTGGGTGGTGATGAAGATGAAGTGACAAGCTTGCCAGCTAAACGTCGACGCTTAGAGGACTAGTGCGCCATGGGCTTCAAGCTCAACCGATCAATTAAGCTGCTATTATAGTTGGATGAACACTTACCATTCGGTCAGCATAAGTTCATGTTGAACTGTTTCCTGGCTAACCATGTGTAGTGTCATCCCTCCGTATGAACTGCTGTCCTCACCAAACATAATAATCTAGTTTTTCTCGAGTCTGATAACTGGGTAATCTGTGTTGTTGCCACTCTGTCATTATTTTATTCTTTATGCCAGCTGTAAGCAAATCTTACATAGATGGTGCAAAAACACTGCATTCCAGATGATGGTTCAAATAATGAACTGACGATTTGCCTGGGCCGGTAAGCACTCAGCTTAAGTGTGCATGTGGTGTCCAAATGACGGGGCGTATGGCGTCAAAGTAGGTAAACACATAATAAATGCAGAGGTGGGTGGGCGCTCTCATGCATGCAGTTGTGGTACGCGCTTGTCGCGGGCAGTTGTGGTACGCGCTTGTCGCGGGCAGTTGTGGTACGCGCTTGTCGCGGGCCTCTGTCCAATATTCCTTATGGTTGGCATGGACCAGCTTGAACATTAGTACTGTTCTGACCGGACGGATACCTGGCGCGTGTCCTGATATGCGGAAAACATGAGATGCATATGGAAGCCGCATTTGCCTGTTAGTGGTCACTGGCCGACATTTTCTGTACATATGTTAGGATCAGTTAGTTGATGAGGGAGCAGATGGGCCATGTGAAAGCATTGTTCAATAACAAAAAAAAGTGGACAGTTGCTCTCAGTGACATGGTATTTTCCCATGCGAGTGCAGATTTTCGGTATGCTGCATTTTACAAACGTTTA